GCAAGACCCGTCTAACCACAACAACTCTTGGCTCCTATTTTTTATTTTTTATTCTTTACATTTTCTTGAAGAATATAAATATATGCACTGTGGTGTTCTCCACTCTGATGTATCTTTTTTTAATTGATGCAGGCTGCTGGATATCTACCAGGACCTCACTGTCAGCTTTTGTCAATCTTGGACTTGCTTAATTGGTCAATATTCATCGAGAACAGCGCGTTTTTGAAGCACTCAACCTTGTCAATGGTTGACTGCAAATCTCATTTTACGATCAACAGTGATGAGTAGAGACACCAAGAAGAACAACAGGAAATTAATGTGGAAAAATTAAACGCTACCCTTAGGTACTTTGCTTGTGATCATGAGTACGCCCATACGTTGTTAGAAGAATTGTGCCAGCAACGATTGCCGATTTTCTACGATACCATACCCATAGCTTGAACTCTTGGTAGTGTTTTGTTACGACACTCGAAGAAAAAGATAAAAATAATAGAGATATGATATATTTATTTTTATATATTTCTTGTTTTGAAAATATATAAATTTATTTTAAAAACCGTTACCATATAGACACATTTATTTTATTTGTGTAAATTTATCTTCGAATAAATATGTTTTTTCCTATCTTTTTTTTTACGACTGCTCATATTAAAGACTTTATTATGAGCAATCGTCCATTAACACCATAAAAGAAAAGGCATTCGATTTTTTTCAAGAGGTTAATGATCATAACACATGTAATGCTGAATTGATCATGGGAAACATGTAAGATATTTCTTTCTCAAACAGCAAACCTTAAACTAGTTGCTTTGAATCATTCTGTACGCGTGATTCTTTGGAAGGTCAAGCAAGACCTGATGCAAATAAGGAGGCTTGAGAAGAGACCCCGTGATGCATGAATCCTACTAGAAAATGGAAATGTGGGAAAATCAAAGAATTTTGACAGAACCTAATTAAAACTCATTAGTTGTAGTTATTATTTTTCTAGAATAGCTGTTAGTTCCTAGTTAAATTAGTGTTACATTTCACATATATATCAAACTACTTTGAACAAAATAAGAGAATTAATTAGTTTTTTGTATTTTTTACAATTGCATTCTAGAAATACAAATTGGAAAGATTCATATACATCAAGACCATTCTAGAATATTATTAATAGAGAAGGATCTAGCTAGTTGCTAAGTCTTATGTTTGAATCCAACATATTTCCTTATATATACATATGACTCCATATATTTGTTTTCTTTTTTTTTGGATCGAGCAAGTAATCCAGCATAAAACACATAAATTAATTGTTTTTTTTTAAATGGCTATTTGTAAGTAGGGATTTCATAGTTGTTAATAATTTTAAACATAATTTTAAGATAATGTTATTTTAATTAAAAAACAAAAATTAATAAATTACAATTAAATTTTTGACCAGCTTTATCAGATCAATTAAGTTACCGAGATTAACCAAGTTATACTAGATTTTTTATTTTTTTTATTTTATTTTTTCAATCCAGTTTGATCAGCAAGATCCCGACCCGCCTGCCGTGCTAGGCCGGTTTCAAAAATATGGTTTTAAATGATATATACGTCCCACGATAAGTGATGTGACGAGGTTGTGAGAATTAATATATACGACCAAACCATAATTAACGAGCACCATCAATTCAACTACTTTTAGGTTTTAGAAAATTGGGAAAAAATGGTTGAAAAATAAAAATTTAAAAAGAAAAGGAAAAGGAAAAGGACAATTTCCCTGGTCTCAGGGCCACTAACTATTTTGTTTAATTTCCTGAATATTTTTTTTTAATCATCCGTGTGGTTGCTGCAGCTCCAATTTAGATAATATCGAACGGATGGCACTGTAATTACTGGCATTAGGATTGCGACAACACACCATACATGGCATAAACAATCAGCTAGCGTCATAAAATCAACATTAAATACAAATTAATTAGAGAACGATTTATATTGTTTGAGATAAATAAACTCCGATCAGTAGAGATATTTAGGAAATTTATAGTGGATGAGGAGGAGGTGGGGGCAAAGAAGACTTTAATGGCAGCACCCTACCAACCGCAATAAAATAAAAATAAAATGGGGGTGGCAAGCAGGCTTTCCCACTGCAAGTTGGTGAGGACAAGGGGAATTTGCAAGTACAAGAAATGTAAGAACCCTCCTACCTATCACGTTAACCAATAAATCTTTTCAAATTTTTTAATCCAATTATTTTACTGGCTCGTGTGTAAAATTAATCGAAGTAAATATTATTTTGATATGAATTAATAATCTTGAAAACATATAAATAAAAAATAAAAAATATAGTTTGATTTTTTTAAAATAAATCTAAAATAATATTTTTTAAAAAATTTAACATGTTAAATCTACTTAAATTTTATGGATAAGTACGCTAAATTTATAATTAATATCATAAACTACTTTGTTGTATTTGATAATTTTATTTTAATGTTATGATAATAAAAAATATATTAAAATTAAATATTAATAAATAAAAATAGAAGTAAATTAAAATAAATTATAAGAATAATTTTAAGTATTAAAAAATTAAAAAAGATTCAATAAAAAAATAGAAGACGAATTCAAGAAAAGGACAAAAAAGGGAGCAACACCTTTATTGTTCTTTTTATCCCGGTTCTTTTAGCACAAGGAGACAATAATTAAAGATTATGGGGGTCTCTTACAAATACCGGAAAAATCTATTTAATATATTTTGCTAGTAAGCAAGCAAGCTTGACGGCGACGTATGAAATAATGACGATGGCTACACGGATGTGAATCCATGGATGCTTACTGGCTAGAGTTTTTTCTTCTCTCTTCACTGTTATTTTTTGTTTTTGTTTGCCATTGCTGGACTGCGTAGGATTCTGCTGCGAGGTTTCAAAATATTATTATATATAAGAGAAATACAGTACATTTAATAAAACCAAACTGAACTTGTGATTTGCATTCTATATATAAGAAACAGTGGTGTGCAGACCATGGGGGCAAAGGGATCGCTGCAAAATGGTACAAGGTTCCGCAGGTCCTTAATTGGAAGCATGAAACGTCCAAGAGATAGGCTACAGATGTAGAGGTATGCACAAAAAAAACCAAAATGGCTTTCAAATTGTCAAGTAATCAGTGCATGGAGTCTGGGAAAAAGAAATGGCTAAAGAGCTGCACATTACAAATGAAGAACGGCCGGCCATGAGTTGAATACTTTCAGCTTTTCTTGTTAATGGTTAGCTTCAAGTGACATTATTTTAATTTTAAAAAATTAAATTTATTTTTTATTGAGTTATGGAATGATTCACTATGTTATTTGTATTTGACTAGCTTATCTCCAGCCTGATTTTTTTGCAGCCGGTCCGAGATAGTTTTCGGATCAACCCGCTAGCTTAGATAGATTTTAATAACACCATGGTTCAAATGTTACGTGAGGGATAAGAAATAGATTTTTCATAAATTTCTTAATTGTGACGTGGATAAAGAATTCAAAATGAAAAGTTTCACATTAATAACCGAAAATAGAGCGAATTAAAATGAAAAGGATAAGAAAAGAATTAATTCTTCCCTAGTTTTTTTACAACTCTACTTTGAGCGTGTTTGGAAATATATTTGTGATTGTTTGTTAAAATATTTTTAATGTTGAAATATATCAAAATAATATTTTTTTATTTTTTAAAAATTATTTTTGAAATCAATATATTAAAATAATTTAAAATATATAAAAAATTAAATCTTTTTAAAAACACACTTTTCCAACCATTCTATGAGAGCATGTTCAAACAATAGGGCAAGCAGGTTTTAATAAAGGTGGTTCTCTATGCTCTGCTTTTCTACTCATAAGAGAGAAGGATGTATATGGGTAAACTTTCAGGATGAGAAATATATCATTTTCTTTGTTGTCTTCGTAGATTTTTTTTTTTTTTGGATTCGTAGATTTTTTCTTCATTATGGCTATCCTATGTATCAGCCAGTACGTGACTTGGTCCCGGCTTTCAGCTGTAAAAAAAAACCCTAACTATCCTCAATTATATCTGATATAAATTCTTAAAATTGGTTGAACCGGAACACCAAATAATATTTTAATAGCAATTTTCTTTTCCAAATTTTGCCAGGAAGCACACTGTTCAGGCTGTTTTAACACCCAATTAAGTAAATCTCATCAGGAGTAGCCAAAAGAAGAAGCACATGATTGCAATTAATAAATTTTACTCGAGTTTTCTTCTATAATATTTTTGCCTGGCATTGATCCAGCCGACATGATTCTTGGATTCACCACGCACTCGAAATGAAAATTCACAACTTGGTGTAATTAATATAAAAAAAGAAATACCTAACACCAAGGCCGAGTTAGAAACAATGCCCTAGTCCAATAGCTTGCATCAACTTGAAAGCTAGGATGACGGGAAAGTTTATAAGAAATCAAAGAGAAACTGTAGAAATTCAAAATAATCCGTAAATATCCCATGATATATAATTATCAATATTTATTTTTTAAAAGGAAAATAACTAACAAAATCAATCGAGTTACATAGCATTTCCGCGTGTGGATAAATAGAGAAAAAATGGATTTTTTACTATTTTCAGGTAAATATATGCATGGATGTGTTCATGATATCCAGACACCGTCGATGATTATAATCTCCTCCGCCATTTATGGAAGGGAAACTAAGGTAGATATGGTGATTTAAATTTAATGGCAGAAAAAATCATTGATTAAATAATAAGAAATAGAGCCGTGACGTAGTGCTGATGTGCCACTTCTCAACAACCCCCATTTCTCCCCAAACTTCTATCTTTTTGACAAGAACAGGAAATCCTCCCAGTTATGGGACCCCACTTAAGTGCATGCTACTTACCACAACATCCCAAGTGTCACAATCCCACCCATTGAATCCCATGATGATCCAACGGCCACGTACACTTTTCAACTAACACATTGGCCAACCCACCCCACCCTCCACCTGCCTGCCGCTCCCCGTTCCTTCTCTATTTAAAGCACCGAAATTTTGGTGAACAAACTCAGGATTTTTGGGTAACCTGAAAATTCCTACATACATTTAGAGCCTCGCAACTTCAATTTTGTTTTTACTATAAAGCCCTCATATAATTTTTTACGCCAGAAAATTCTTTGTGCTCACACATCCGTTCTTCTCTCTCATTTTCTCTTTGATCATCCCAATCGATCCATCACTCTTTTTTCGTCTCTCCCCCATCTTGGCATAGAGGATCATCGCTATACTGCAGGAAAAAATGGAATTTTGTCAAGATTCACGCAATGGCAATGGTTCACTGGGATTTAACACTAATGACCCTTTGAACTGGGGCATGGCGGCAGAGTCACTAAAAGGAAGCCACCTGGATGAGGTCAAGCGCATGATCGAGGAGTACAGGAAGCCTGTGGTCAAGTTAGGAGGTGAGACCCTGACCATAGGCCAGGTAACTGCGATTGCCAGCCGTGACGTTGGTGTCGTGGTGGAGTTGTCAGAGGAGGCTCGAGCTGGTGTCAAAGCCAGCAGTGACTGGGTCATGGACAGCATGAGCAAGGGCACAGACAGTTATGGTGTTACTACTGGTTTTGGTGCAACCTCACATAGAAGAACCAAGCAAGGTGGAGAGCTTCAAAAGGAGCTTATAAGGTAATCAAACTCATGACAAATCCCAAAATTTACTTTAATAGTATCTTAACTGCTAGTAAGGTAGCTTTTTTAATTACTGTACATATCACGCAGTTTTTTTTTTTGCCATGATATTGTTCATTTGTTACTTTAAAGAGGGGATTGTTGGCTTGTTAGTATTGATATTTCCCAGGAAAAAACAACTAATGTCTTGTCAGAGACAAAAAAAGAAGAAAAAGGTCTTGTTGTGGACACGATTCGTTCCTGTTAGTTGCTTCCACGTTCGACAACATATATATGTCTGCGTTAGCAGTTGAATCATTAATCACATAGACAAATTGATCTAATCATGTAACAAACGTATTAACAATTATTAATGTCTTCTTTTGGTCCTTTCAAAACAATGGAAGCAAAGGGTTCTTTCTGTTAATTGGAATTTTGGATCATTTCTGGCAAAAATCCCAAGACATATAGCAATAATGATCGATTGTTAAGGTGGGAGATGATGTATTGTGTCGTGTCATAAAGATTAAAAAAAATTAAAAATTAAAACCTAAGGAGTTTTTGTTAGGGAGGAAGATACCACAAGGGCATGTGAGCCTTAATTTATATATGAGGTGCTCCTTCACTCTCCTGGAAAATGCCTAAAATTAGCACGCACGCACGTTACATCAGCAGTCTTGTTAACTTGTTATTGTTAGGTTGGTAAGTTGTACGTGGAAGTCCAGCAAGGACCAAAAAAAAATAGAGAGAGATGATGTGGTTAGGTAGGTGATCAGATTAAAGCAGTGAAATAAACTATTATAAAGGGTTGAATATTTCCAACCGGCCTAATTATATTTAAATTACGTATCAAAGATCATTTAGGTGCCTGAATTTCAAATAAAATATTTTGCTTTGTGTATATTTCCAAGTTGACCTGACTCGTCTTGTTTTATTTTAACCATCAAATAAAAAAATATTCAAAGAGAAAAAGTATAGTGTCCCGGACGGTAAACATCATTAATTACTTGTAATTTACTTCGTTAATTATGGTTTGCCAATGTTAAGAAAGAGTGCAAGAAACTATCCTAGTTGCTAGTAACATTTTTTGGTTACAAATTGTCACCTACACTTCGCTGAAGTTCTTGCAAGAATAACTAATTAAAAATTCTATTACCAAATAAACTTGTCACCTAATTTATTTTTGTTTTCAATTAAGATTGTTGCTAATGTGGTTTATGGGATTTTATTTCACCAGGTTCTTGAATGCCGGTATCTTTGGAAATGGCACGGAGTCTAGCCATACATTGCCTCGCTCAGCAACCAGGGCAGCTATGTTGGTCAGAATCAACACCCTGCTTCAAGGTTATTCAGGCATAAGATTTGAGATGCTGGAAGCTATCACGAAGCTGCTCAACCACAACATCACCCCATGTTTGCCACTTAGAGGAACAATCACTGCCTCTGGTGACCTTGTACCATTGTCCTACATTGCTGGGCTCTTGACAGGCAGGCCTAATTCAAAGGCAGTTGGACCCCATGGAGAGCCCCTAAGCCCTGCTGAAGCCTTTACACAAGCTAGGATTGATGGCGGCTTTTTTGAGTTGCAGCCGAAGGAGGGTCTAGCACTAGTGAATGGTACTGCAGTGGGTTCCGGTCTGGCTTCAATGGTGCTTTTTGAGGCTAATGTGTTGGCAATCCTATCAGAAGTTCTGTCAGCAATCTTTGCTGAAGTTATGCAAGGAAAACCTGAGTTTACTGATCACCTGACACATAAATTGAAGCATCATCCTGGCCAAATTGAAGCTGCCGCCATCATGGAACATATTTTAGATGGCAGTGCCTATGTTAAAGAAGCTCAGAAGTTACATGAGATCGATCCTCTACAAAAACCTAAACAAGACCGATACGCTCTTCGAACATCTCCACAATGGCTAGGCCCTTTGATCGAAGTGATTAGAACATCAACTAAAATGATCGAACGAGAAATCAACTCTGTCAATGACAATCCTTTGATTGACGTGTCGAGGAATAAGGCTCTAAATGGAGGGAATTTCCAGGGGACCCCAATTGGTGTTTCAATGGACAACACTCGTTTGGCCATTGCTTCAATTGGCAAACTCATGTTTGCACAATTCTCTGAACTTGTTAATGACTTTTACAATAATGGATTGCCTTCAAACCTTACTGGTGGCCGCAATCCAAGCTTGGATTACGGGTTCAAAGGTGCCGAAATTGCCATGGCATCTTACTGCTCGGAGCTCCAATTCCTAGCCAATCCTGTCACCAATCATGTCCAGAGTGCTGAGCAACACAACCAAGATGTCAACTCCCTGGGCTTGATTTCTTCAAGAAAAACAGCTGAAGCTGTTGACATATTGAAGCTCGTGTCAACCACTTTCTTGGTTGGTCTATGCCAAGCCGTTGACTTGAGGCACGTAGAAGAGAACCTAAAGAACACAGTTAAGAACACTGTCAATCAAGTTGCTAAGAGAGTCTTGACAATGGGCTTCAGTGACGAGCTTCACCCTTTAAGATTCTATGAAAAAGACTTGCTCAAGGTTGTTGACAGAGAACATGTCTTTTCCTACATTGACGATCCTTGCAGTGCAACCTATCCATTAATGCAAAAGCTAAGGCAAGTACTAGTCGAGCATGCCTTGGTGAATGGCGAAAGGGAAAGGAATTCAACCACTTCGATTTTCCAAAAGATCGGATCTTTTGAGGAAGAACTGAAAACCCTTTTGCCTAAAGAAGTGGAGAATGCTAGACTTGAAGTTGAGAATGGAAATCCAGCTATTCCAAACAGGATCAAGGAATGCAGGTCATACCCCCTGTACAAGTTTGTGAGGGAAGAATTGGGAACTAGGTTGCTAACAGGTGAGAAGGTCAAATCTCCCGGCGAGGAGTTCGACAAGGTTTTCACAGCTATCTGTGCAGGGAAGTTGATTGATCCCTTACTGGAATGCTTGAAGGAATGGAATGGTGCTCCTCTTCCTATTTGCTAAGCTATGGATGTCCTGTAATCATCTGTCTTTTTTCTTTTTTCTTACTAAACTTACTTGTCATGTCAATTTGTACGTAACAAGAAAAGTGTAAGCCTATGTTGTCTATTTACTTTCAAATCATTAAAGAATATTTCTTTGTACATCAACAAATGCACAATCCTAAATAAAAAGGATTAGTTTTTTTACTATGAAATTTCTCTACACTACTACTCCTCAAATGCCTACCAGTACAGATTTCAAATTATTTAGACCAATATCTTACGCTATTTAATTGCATTTAAATCTAATAAACTTTTAAGCAAGAACACCTTTTTGTTTTTACAAAGATACAACCCTTTAATTTTATTAATTAAACTAATTTTAAGTTTAATTAAATATCTAAATTTATTAGTTCTTCAATTACATTCTTGATTTGGTTAAATAAACTAATCTAAAGTTTAATTAAGTCCTAAAAACTTTAATTTAGGTTGTCTTGACCCAAAATTTAATTTATTCTTTATTTATTTCATTTTTCATTTATTATTTTTTTACTTTTATATCATCATTCTTTTTATAAAATAAAAATTGTAAAAAATTGTGTTATGATTCTAATTTGACCAAATCAACTCGTTTAACAAAAAACTTGACTTTTTGGTCGGGTCAACTCTCAAGCCAAGTTTGATAATTATGATTATCATTAAAATATATTTTTTATATTTTTTAAGCTATTAAAATACATTAAAAAAATTTACATAAATAATTTTTTTATATTTTTTAAGTTATTAAAATACATTAAAAAAATTTACATAAATAACTCTTTATAAAAAATAAAAATATTTAACTTATAGCACAGCCCGAGCCACGTGATTAGTAGCTTTAAGAACCTGTAAGTGGCGGAGGTTGGGGACTACCCCAACACTTCACCAACAATGAGGTTATAGATCTTATCCGTCTGGTTGTTCTTAGTCTATCTTTGGAGTTCTCATTACTTTTATCTCTTTCAATACCATCGTTTTATTTTATATTTGAGAAAGGTTTTTTTTTTTTTATTTTTCCACTCTGAAAGGTTAATTCAAAAGATAAGAATAAATTCTTATTTTGACTGTTTTATAAACTTGATTTTGAGTTTTATAATCAAATATTTGAAATTTGTATCGATGAATGTAAAATTAATTTATATATACTTTCATTTTATTTACTAAAAAAATTATATAAAAAACTGGTAATGCTATTTATATTTACTACAAAATGAGCTGAAATTTAATATTTTATCTTATTTTGATCATTATCTCGAGAAAAATACATTGTTATTATAAAATATAAAATAAATATTAAAATAAATTAAAATGGATAGAAAATAAGCTAAATACATCATTAACTAAACAATAATAACACATTTAAAGGGTGCTCGAGGGTGAAGTAAATTTTGATTTTTAAAGTAATTTTTATTCTAAAATATATTAAAATAATATTTTTTTTATTTTTTAAAATTTATTTTTCATATTACCTATTAATTTATAATTTAAAATAAAAATCCTTTTTTATTTTAAATTAATCTCAGTTCCAAACAAGTGCCTACTATAATACTTACGGATGAGAAAAATAACTGAAAATCGATTAAACTGATAAAATAAAAAATAATAATTACAAAAATTAAACTGTAAAAAAATAATTAAACTGATTATAATTTAAAAAATTAATTGGTTTGATTTGATTTTAGTTTTATAAATCTGAAACTAAAAAAACCGAACTAAAACCAAACCGGAAAAACTAGAAAAAACTACAGCCAAACCGAAAAAACTAAGCCAAATCAAGAAAATTAAGATAAAAAATCGAGCTAAACTAAAAAATCAAACTAAACTGATTTAAATAGGTTTTTATCTGGAAAACCGAGCCAAAATACCAAACCGAAAAAACTAAACCAAATCAAGAAAATTAAGATAAAAAACCGAGCTAAACTAAAAAATTAAACTAAACTGATTTAAACAGGTTTTTATCTGGAAAACCGAGCCAAAATTAACCAATTTAAACTATTTTTTAAAAATAATTTAATTTAATTATTTTTTTATAAAAAACAAATCAAACAAAAAATAATTAACCTGATTGACACCGCAGCTTCCCTATTTTCCCCTGTGACCCCGCTTCTTTCTACACGCGTAAGCTCCCGTGTCTCTCTCTTTCGATTTCTCTCTCTCCTTCTCTCTCACAAAAGAAACACGAAAATGGCGTGCGTGGGGATCTTGTTAGGCACGGGAAACCCGCTCCTCGACATTTTTGCTGTTGTAGACGATGATTTCTTGCAGAAGTTGTGTCTCTTTTAACACCTCTTTTACTATGTTTATTGCTCTCATTGTTGCAGAAAGCAAAACCTGAACTTTGCTTTATTTGATGTTGTTCTTTTAATGCTTCAATCTTTATTATTCGATACTGCTTGATCCGTGTTTGTTACCTATTAATTAGTTCTTGTTGTCTGATTGAAAATAAGACGTAGATCTGAGCTGCTTTCAACGTGTGTTCTGGTTTGCCATGACAGATATGATTTTGTTCTTTCATTGCATGATTGATTCTCTGTTTTCTCTCTTTAAGAAATTTCATCGTGATTGTTTGGTTACTGAGAAAATCTTAATGTTTGACGTGTTAAACGAATTTCTTAAATGTGAGAATTGAGCTCGATTTTTTTTGTAAATCTTTGTTTTCTACAGTTTAGATCATATTCTATTCGTTTCATATTTAAGTATTATGTGATTTACTTTGGGAATTTGAATAGCTTTCGTTAATTTGTCTATTTTGATAGATACGACATCAAGCTGGGCAATGCTATCCTCGCCGAAGACAAGCACTTGCCTATGTGAGTTCTTTTTATATCTATGCATTTTCCTATAAGGGTTCCCTTTTTCAGGCATTTGAAACATTGTATTGATGCTTCTTGTTTTTATGGATAGTTGAAGGTACGATGAAATGGCTAGCAAGGACAATGCAGAATTTTCCTATTTGAAGGTACATTGCTGGAGGTAATATAAGAATTTCTGAATTTAATGATGTCATGTTTAAATTTTAATATTTTCAGTTAATGAGTAATATTATTTTATTGATGCCTGTCAACTAACAAGCATCGTTTTTTATCCCAACCAAGTTATACTGAGTCAATTATCTTTGTATTTTTGTTGAAACATGGTGTAAACCCGTCTGGTAAAATATTTATCACCACCTTTTTCCTTTCTTTCTCTTGTCTTTATTGACAAAGAAACGAGGAGCAGTTGATGAGGGCAGCACCTACCTCTTCGCAAAAGCATGCTGCAAAAAAGAAAAAGAAAAAAAAGGAACATGATTCCAGAACAAACATAATCAGAGCACTAGAACTAAAACTTTCTGATGGAGGAAATTCATCTACTTTGATCCAGCGAGGTGCAGACCACTCAACTTTGAGGACGAGATTATCATAGCCATATCCATGAGATTGTCGATGGCTCTCTCCGAGCATCTTCCTTGTTAACAAGAGGAACACAACCAAAACCTTTGTTCAAACCAGTGACAGCAAACACTCGAGCTGTTGGTCCCAATGGTCGGTAGAGGTCATTCAAGTCTCTTTCTCGAGTGTCCTCTAAGAGGCACATGGCTGTCCACCTGTCGTGCCACAAGTCCTACACTGTAACATGAGAGTTGCACCTCTGTTTCCAAGCTGTGCTCGAGAGTCCCCTGCTATCTTGGTTTCGCCGTATGCTCCGCTGCCTGTTTGCAATTTCGACAAGGGATCTATTAAAGTACGATTAGGGTTTTTAATTTCAAATCAAGGGTTGTGGCTTGATTTTAATTTCAACGGCACCACCGCATGCTTTTCATCCAGCCACGCCAACAACCTTCACTTTCGATCTTTTTTCAGTCACGTTTATCTTAATCATTATTCTATTCTGAATTTGGAGAAAAAATCAGAGGAGAAAAAGATTTTGGTCGTAAAAAAAAAGAGAAGTCAGACTTAATTTTTAATATACTAATATTAAAAATAAAAATAAAAATAAAAATATTTTAATATATTTTTAACGAAAATGATTTTATTCAATAATTTGCCCAAAAAATAAGCTTGACTAATTTCACTTTGACCATATTATGTGTATAGAGTGAGGCTCTCAACAACCATACATGTAGCTTATCCAAGAGTTTAACACATTAAGTAAAGCCTGTAAGCCTGATGTCTCTATGATTTTCTCATTGTCTTCACCTACCCTCACTGGATCAGAACCCCGACTGTGCTTGTTCCGGTCTAACCACAACAGCTCCTGGCTACTATTTTCTTCTTTTTTTAACATTTTCTTAAAGAATATGTGCAGTGTGGTGTTCTCCACTGATGTGTCTTTTTCAATTGATGCAGGCTGCTGGATATCTACCAGGAACCTCACGATACCGGGAGTAAAAGATAAAAATAATTTCATATATTTCTTGTTTTAAAAATATATAAATTTATCTTAAAAACTGTTTCCATAGAGACATGTTTATTTTATTTGTGTAAATAAATATGCTTCTTTCTATCTTTTTTATTACTATTGCTCACCATAAAGGCTTTATTATGGGCAATCGTCCATTGACAGCATAGAAGAAAAGGATCATAACACGTGTAATGATGAATTGATCATGGGAAACATGTAAATGTTTCCTTCTCAAACAGCAAACCTTAAACTAGTTGCTTTGAAGAACTGAAAAAAGGGTTTGGATCATAAATTAACTTGACAGGTAACTTCAAATTTAATTGATTAATTCTCACCTAGGTTTTTACAACTCCACTCAGAGCAGGTTCAAATTATCGGGCAAGCAGGGTTTAATAAAGGCGGCTCTGTAGTCTCTATGCTCTGCTTTTCTTCTCGAAAGAGAGAAGGATACATATACATCAGTCAATGACTTTCAGGATGATAAATATATACTTTTCTTTGTTGTCTTCGTAGGCTTTTTTTGGATTCGTTGATTTTTTCTTCATTATGGCTATCCTATGTATCAGCCAACGACTTGTCCAAACCCTACGTTCGATATAAATATTTTTAAATAGTTGAACCATAATACCAAATAATATTTTAATAACAGTTTTTTCAAAAAAAAAAAAAAGAAGCTGTTCGGGCCGTTTTCACACCCAACTAAGTAAATCTCAGTAGGACTAGCCAAAAGAAGCACATGATTACAATTAATAAATTTTACTTGAATTTTCTTCTATAATAATTTTGCCTGGCATTGATCCAGCCGCCATGATTCTTGGATTTACCATGCACTCACGATGAAAATTCACCACTAAAGTGCATGCTACTTACCACAACATCAACCAGCACATCGGCCAACCCGCCCCATCCTTCTCTGTTTAAAGCACCTAAATTTTAGTGAACAAACTCAGGATTTTTGGGTAAACTGAAATTCCTTGTGCTCACACATCCGTTCTTCTCTCTCATTTTCTCTTTGATCATACCAATCGATCCATCACTCATTTTTTGTCTCTCCCCCATCTTGGCATTGAGGATCATCGCTTTACAGGAAAAAAATGGAATTTTGTCAAGATTCACGCAATGGCAATGGTTCACGGGGATTTAACACTAACGCCCCTTTGAACTGGGGCATGGCGGCAGAGTCACTAAAAGGAAGCCACCTGGATGAGGTCAAGCGCATGATCGAGGAGTACAGGAAGCCTGTGGTCAAGTTAGGAGGTGAGACCCTGACCATAGGCCAGGTAACTGCGATTGCCAGCCGTGACGTTGGTGTCGTGGTGGAGTTGTCAGAGGAGGCTCGAGCTGGTGTCAAAGCCAGCAGTGACTGGGTCATGGACAGCATGAGCAAGGGCACAGACAGTTATGGTGTTACTACTGGTTTTGGTGCAACCTCACATAGAAGAACCAAGCAAGGTGGAGAGCTTCAAAAGGAGCTTATAAGGTAATCAAACTCATGACAAATCCCAAAATTTACTCTACTCGTATCTTAACTGCTAGCAAGGTAACTTTTTTATTATTGTATATATTATGTAGGTTTTTTTTTTTTGTCATGATATTGCTAATTTGTTGCTTTAAATAGGGGATTGTTGGCTTGTTAGTATTGATATTTCCCAGGACAAAAAAAACTAAATTCTTGTTAGAGACCAAAAAAAAAAGGTCTTGTTGTGGACACGATCCGGTCCTGTTAGTGGCGTCCACGTTGACAACATATATATGTCTGCGTTAGCAGTTGAATCATTAATCACATAGACAAATTGATCTAATCATGTAACAAACGTATTAACAATTATTAATGTCTTCTTTTGGTCCTTTCAAAACAATGGAAGCAAAGGGTTCTTTCTGTTAATTGGAATTTTGGATCATTTCTGGCAAAAATCCCAAGACATATAGCAATAATGATCGATTGTTAAGACATCTAGCAAAGGGTTCTTTCAGTTTTTTTCAGGGAGGAAGATACCACAGGTGCTTGTGAGGTGCTCCTTCACTCTCATGGAAAATGCCTGAAATTAGCACGCACACGTTTCATCAGCTGTCTTGTTAACTTGATACTGTTTGGTTGGTAAGTTGCACGTGGAAGTCCAGCATTTAGGTGGTAGGCGGGTAATCAGATTTTATTTAAATTACGTATTAAAGATCATTTAGGTGCCTGAATTTCAAATAAAATGATCTACTTTGTGTATATTTCCAGCTTGACTTGACTCGTATTGAGTTATTTAACCATCAAATAAAAAATATTCGAAGAGAAAAGTCTACCATCCCGGAAGGGAAGCATCACTAATTACTTGTAATTTACTTCGTTAATTATGGTTTGCCAATATTAAGAAAGAGTGCAAGAAACTGTCCTAGCTGCTAGTAACATTTTTTTGTTACAAATTGTCACCCACACTTCGCCGAGGTTCTAACTAATTAAAATCCTATTACCAAATAAACTTGTCAGCTAAATGTTTTTTTTTTTTTTGAAGGTTGTTGTTAATGTGGTTTATGGGATTTTATTTCACTAGGTTCTTGAATGTTGGTATCTTCGGCAATGATACGGAGTCTAGCCATACATTACCTCGCTCAGCAACCAGGGCAGCTATGTTGGTGAGAACCAACACCCTGCTTCAAGGTTATTCAGGCATAAGATTTGAGATGCTGGAAGCTATCACCAAGCTGCTCAACCACAACATCACTCCATGTTTGCCACTTAGAGGAACAATCACTGCCTCTGGTGACCTTGTCCCATTGTCCTACATTGCTGGGCTCTTGACAGGCAGGCCTAATTCAAAGGCAGTTGGACCCCATGGAGAGCCCCTAAGCCCTGCTGAAGCCTTTACACAAGCTAGGATTGATGGCGGCTTTTTTGAGTTGCAGCCGAAGGAGGGTCTAGCACTAGTGAATGGTACTGCAGTGGGTTCCGGTCTGGCTTCAATGGTGCTTTTTGAGGCTAATGTGTTGGCAATCCTATCAGAAGTTCTGTCAGCAATCTTTGCTGAAGTTATGCAAGGAAAACCTGAGTTTACTGATCACCTGACACATAAATTGAAGCATCATCCTGGCCAAATTGAAGCTGCCGCTATTATGGAACATATTTTAGATGGCAGCTCCTATGTTAAAGAAGCTCAGAAGTTACATGAGATCGATACTCTACAGAAACCTAAAAAAGACCGATATGCTCTTCAAACATCTCCACAATGGCTAGGCCCTTTGATCGAAGTGATTAGAACATCAACGAAAATGATCGAACGAGAAATCAACTCTGTCAATGACAATCCTTTGATTGACGTGTCGAGGAATAAGGCTCTAAATGGAGGGAATTTCCAGGGGACCCCAATTGGTGTTTCAATGGACAACACTCGTTTGGCCATTGCTTCAATTGGCAAACTCATGTTTGCACAATTCTCTGAACTTGTTAATGACTTTTACAACAATGGATTGCCTTCAAACCTAACTGGTGGCCGCAATCCAAGCTTGGATTACGGGTTCAAAGGTGCCGAAATTGCCATGGCATCTTACTGCTCGGAGCTCCAATTCCTAGCCAATCCTGTCACCAATCATGTCCAGAGTGCTGAGCAACACAACCAAGATGTCAACTCCCTGGGCTTGATTTCTTCAAGAAAAACAGCTGAAGCTGTTGACATATTGAAGCTCGTGTCAACCACTTTCTTGGTTGGTCTATGCCAAGCCGTTGACTTGAGGCACGTAGAAGAGAACCTAAAGAACACAGTTAAGAACACTGTCAATCAAGTTGCTAAGAGAGTCTTGACAATGGGCTTCAGTGACGAGCTTCACCCTTTAAGATTCTATGAAAAAGACTTGCTCAAGGTTGTTGACAGAGAACATGTCTTTTCCTACATTGACGATCCTTGCAGTGCAACCTATCCATTAATGCAAAAGCTAAGGCAAGTACTAGTCGAGCATGCCTTGGTGAATGGCGAAAGGGAAAGGAATTCAACCACTTCGATTTTCCAAAAGATCGGATCTTTTGAGGAAGAACTGAAAACCCTTTTGCCTAAAGAAGTGGAGAATGCTAGACTTGAAGTTGAGAATGGAAATCCAGCTATTCCAAACAGGATCAAGGAATGCAGGTCATACCCCCTGTACAAGTTTGTGAGGGAAGAATTGGGAACTAGGTTGCTAACAGGTGAGAAGGTCAAATCTCCCGGCGAGGAGTTCGACAAGGTTTTCACAGCTATCTGTGCAGGGAAGTTGATTGATCCCTTACTGGAATGCTTGAAGGAATGGAATGGTGCTCCTCTTCCTATTTGCTAAGCTATGGATGTCATGTAATCATCCGTCTTTTTTTTATTTTTCTTACTAAGCTTACTTGTCATGTCAATTTGTTCGTAACAAGCAAATTGCCTATCTATATTGTCTATTTACTTTCAAATAATTAAAGAATCTTTCTTTGTACAACAAAAAATGCGCCATCCTAAATGAAAAGGATTAGTTTTTTTTTGCTGTCAAATTTCTTTACATTACCACTCCTTAAATGCCTACCAGTACATATTTCAAATGATTTAGTCCAATATCTTACACTCTTTAATTGCATTTAAATGTAATAAACTTGCAAGCAAGACCACCTTTTTGGTTTTATAAAGATATAATCCTCAGGGATTTTTTATTTTTTAGAATAGTTAATGTTCTTGTTCATAAAAGGTTGTCATTTCATGTTCATGATTTCTTGACAATACATGTTAACATTGAGGCCACAATAAAAACCCACTTGGAACTACCATTAGACTCATGATCTTACACTTGCTAAATTTTACTCTTTTTTTTTGGTAACCAATGCAAAAAAATAAAAAACCTTGTTTACCTGAAAGGATGGAAAAATATCGATGAGATACAAATTCAAGAATTAAATTTAAAATTTAAGGACACAATATAATATGAATCTGAGGTCAAAATAAGCTTTGTTATGCATTTCATATTTATACATTTATGACAAAATAATTATTATAAAAAAATATAGCCATTTTAAAAAAATCACAAGATATTTTTTTTCCTATAATTAAAATATGCAAAAAAATCTCAGGCTAGTTTATACTAGAGTGAGGGATGAGCTTCTCACACGAAGCCACGTAGCGCCACATCAACCGTTGATGGCCACCTGAAATTGTCAGAGTTTAATTAATACGATGAGGACACTGAAAATTCGAAGTTGAAACTATATTTAATTCAAATTCTATACAAGTACGTGTTTTATAGGTATACGTAGATTATTAAGGAATTTCAATACAATTTTATAAATAAACTTGATAATTTATAGATTTAAAACATAACCCGCTCAATTTTTATTTCAAGTTATTTTGAATAAATTTAGATGAGAATAGCCTACATGAATTCTAATATTGTTTTTGAAAAAAATATTTATTAAAACAATATTATTTTAATTTTTAAAATTTTAATTCAAAAACTTTGTTTTAGGCTTGAGGGATAATTCACAAGTTAACTTAATCACCATAGTTTTCAATTGGGTTAGTTTATGATCATTTATAGCAGCTGTTAGTAAATCTTTAAGATTATCACAGCATTTATTATAATTATTAAATAAATTGTGAAATGCCCACCACCATCAGACATCTGCTGATTCAGCGCTGCTAAATGTGTCTCTAAAATGCTAAATCCAACCATTGATTCTATAAAACAAATTTGTATTTACACTATCACAAAAAAACTTTTTCTTTATGTCCTTTATGTTAAATATAATTGTAAATTGTTGAGAATATAATAATGGTTATTTTTAAAATAATTTTTATTTAAAAATATATTAAAATAATTTTATTTTTATTTTTTAAAATTTGTTTACAATAAGAATACATTAAAATAATATAAAAATAAAAAATAAATTAATTTAAAATTAAAAAAATTTATTTTTTTCAAAAATATTTTTAAAACATAAAACTAAATTCTTCAAAACCAACGTCACACGTTCTAATAATTTCAAGATACTCCGTGGTACGAATATCTCATGTTTTTTTTCCACGGTAGGTTAAAGGTTTTTTTTATTTTATTTCTGTAGATAAATAATTAAATGAAAGTCAGTAAATAAATATTTAAACAAAAAATTTTCTTAGACTGCTTTACTACCAAACAAATAAAACGTGAGATTGAGACCAAACAAAAACAATTATATTTTAATTAAACCAATTAATCAACCCAACCACTCGCTTTGAAAACCCGCCAGTGGCGGAGGTTGGTGACTCCACCGACACCTCACCAACAATTAGGTTATATGGTTCATCTTGTCCCTCTTTTTGTTATGAATCTATCTTCTAGCCACTCAGTACTTTTTTCTCTCAATACCATCCTTTTATTCTGTATTCGGCATTTAATACGAGAAAGGTCCTTTTCCCCCTCTCAAAGGTTGATTCAAAAGGTAAGAAAAATTCTCATTTTGGCTGATTTATTGACTTGATTTTGAGTTTTATCACCGAACATTTGAAATTTCTATGGATGAATGTATAATCAATTTATATATACTTTCATTTCATTTACTAAGAAAATTATTTCCCTTGAATTGTCATAAAATACTTCCCAATGGTTAACGATGATGCTAGATTACATTTACTTGAAAGTGAGATAAAATTCAATGTTTTATCTTATTTCAGAATAAAAATCAAAATTAATAAAAAAGTGAAGTAAATGTTGATTTTTTAAAAGTTATTTTTATTTAAAAGTATATTAAAATAATTTTTTTAATTTTTTTTTTGATATTACACATTATTTTATAATTTTTAAAAAATCATTTTTTGTTTTTAAATTAATCTCAATTCCAAACGGGTGCCTACTATAATACCTACCACTGCTTCCCCATTTTTCCCTGCGACCCCGCTTCCTTCTACAGGCATAAGCTCCTCCGTTTCTCTCTCTCTATCTCTATCACAAAAGAAACACGAAAATGGCGTGCGAGGGGATCTTGTTAGGCATGGGAAACCCACTCCTCGACATTTCTGCTGTTGTAGACGATGATTTCTTGCAAAAGTAAGTTGTGTCTCTTTTAATACCTCTTTTACTATGTTTATTGTTCTCATTGTTGCAGAAACCTAAACCTGAACTTTGCTTTATTTGATGTTGTTCTTTTAATGCTTCAATCTTTATTATTCGATACTGTCTGATCCGTGCTTGTTAGCTATTGATTAGTTCTTGTTGTCTGATTGGAAATAAGAGGTAGATCTGAGCTGCTTTCAACATGTGTTTTGGTTTGCAATGACAGATCTGATTTTGTTCTTTCATTGCATGATTGATTCTCTCTGTTTTTGTCTCTTTATGAAAATTTCATCATGATTGTTTGACTACTGAGAAACTCTTAATGTTTGACGTGTTAAATGAATTTCATAAATGTGAGAATTGAGCTCTATTTTTTTGTAAATCACTGTTTTCTACAGTTTAGATCATATTCTATTCGTTTCAAATTTAAGTATTATGTGATTTAGTTTGGGAATTTAAATACCTTTCTTCCTTTGTTGATTTTCGTTAATTGGACTATTTTGATAGATATGACATCAAGCTGAACAATGCTATCCTCGCCGAAGACAAGCACTTGCCTATGTGAGTTCTTTTTATATCTATGCATTTTCCTATAAGGGTTCCCTTTTTCAGGCATTTGAAACATTGTATTGATGGTTATTGTTTTTATGGATATTGAAGGTACGATGAAATGGCTAGCAAGGGCAATGTAGAATACATTGCTGGAGGTAATATCAGGATTTCTGAATTTAATGATGTCATGTTTAAATTTTAATATTTTCAGTTAATGAATAATATTATTTTAACGATGCCCGTAAACTAATGAGTATCGCTTTTTCTGTTATGTTTAGGTGCTACTCAAAATTCAATCAGAGTTGCACAGGTTTGCTGTGATAGATATGACTGCATACATTTTTGTAGTTATGCTTCTATTGTATGTGACTAATTTGTTTTTACTCCTCTTGACTTTTGTTTATTGCAGTGGATGCTCCAAATTCCTGGTGCAACCAGCTATATGGGCTCCACTGGGAAGGACAAGTTTGGAGAGGAGATGAAGAAAAACTCCACTGAAGCTGGTGTTAATGTAAATTACCCTGCATCTTTTGTTTCCAACGTTTAGGTTGATTGTACTGTCAAGGAGATTTAATGAGGATGTGAAATCAGGTACATTATTATGAGGATGAGGCTGCTCCCACTGGAACATGTGCTGTTTGTGTTGTTGGTGGTGAGAGGTCAGTTTTACCTGTGAGTTAGAATTCTGTGCATCTGCTCGTTATTTTGTCCTTGCTAAATACATTGCTGCAAACTGACATGAATCTTGCTCTTGTTTCAAAAATTTCAGAATTGTGCTGTTTATAACTGGTATAATCTTTTATGGATATGAAACATTGTATTATTGAAAAATTATAACATTAACAATTAACAAAAGAAACTAAAAGAGCATGGTGGTTTACGATAGTAATGTGGACTGGACACCGTGTTATATTGTCCATCATAGACAAAGTAACATCATGTAGGGTGTTTTAGGTACTAAACAATGTTGTTTTGTCAACAAATTTAAGTGATTTTTTGGAAATATATGTTCACTTTAGTGCTTGGTTTTCAAGGCTTGTATGACTGGTCCTTGAATTTCATTTGTCTTCAACTCTGGTCCCTAGATGGGAGAGAGAAGAGAGAAATGGCAGAAGAGAGGTAGGAGAGAGAAATTTATGTTCAGCCTCATTTTGGCCACAAAAACCTCCAACATTGGTTTCTACAGTTTGCCTTGGAGCGAGTAGTTTATTTATGGTGGTTATAGGCACAAAAATAATCGGGTTATTTTGGTTGATTAAAATTTTTTTGAGGTTGAAAATGTGTTTGGGAGTTTTTGAGATGATTTTGAGATAGTTTAGGTGAAAAATGGAGTGATCTGCCTGCAAAATGTCGCTGAAAAATTAGGGTTTTTTTATTAAATATTCTTTTGCAATTGGTGTATTGATGGGATTTTTTTTTTTAAATCCCTGGATGGGGTTTTTTTATTAAATATTTATTTGCAATAGAAATAATTCGTCACTCCAATTTTTATAGAGATCCTGTGCTGTTAGTTAGGCACTAGTTGTGATTTTCTGCTTATTGACTTTCCATTTATCATGGGTCCATGTTTTCTAGCACTGTGTCCAAGATCAACATTTTTTCCAGTTTCATTCTACATGCTGAGCATATGTGTTGTATGCCTGTTGGAGGTAGTGGCATCTGTGGCAAGGGAGGGGCTATTAGTAATCCATGAAGTATTGATGGCATGCCAAGGTGTACTGTCATTCACCCCTGGGCCAAATATTTTATTATGGAGAATAAATATCAGCCCTAATCTTGTTACAACATAAAATGTTGTAACAAAAGTAGACTGCATGTTGGTGTGAACTTTGCAATTGAAACTATGCATTTGTCAATGTTTTCTGGGTTAAAAGTTAAGTTTTTGTTCAGGTCGCTCATTGCAAATTTGTCTGCTGCAAATTGTTACAAATCTGAGCACTTGAAGAGTCCAGAAAATTGGAAACTTGGTACTACCATTTATCTTTCTCTGCTTCCATATTCAACACTTTGTTTAGTTGTTGGCCATATGTCATGCTGGTCTCCCCTTTGCAACTTAATCCTTCTTTTTTTTTTCTTTGAAACAGTTGAAAAGGCAAAATATTTCTACATTGCTGGGTTTTTCCTTACCGTGTCTCCTGAATCCATTATGCTTGTTGCTGAACACGCAGCTGCAAACAACAAGGTAAAACTTGTCCAGTCAGATCTTTCTCTTTTGTAATTATTGCTTTTCTCAGTTCCGTAATCTGAGACATGCATGTGCAGGTCTTCATGATGAACCTCTCTGCTCCATTTATCTGTGAGTTCTTCAAGGATGTGCAGGAGAAGGCTCTACCGTAAGTTAGCCATCCTCTGTTTTGTTCATGATGTTTGTCAATGGTTCAAAACTTATTCACCTTTTGTCTACAGTTATATGGACTATGTCTTTGGGAATGAGACTGAAGCCAGAACCTTTGCAAAGGTTCATGGATGGGAGGTGATTGTTTCTTCATGCATTATAGTCAATCAGAGGACCAAATTCAGCTACACCATGCAATTTACCTTACTGGATTTTTCTTGTTTATCAGACTGAGAATGTTGAGGAGATTGCTCTTAAGATTTCTCAATGGCCTAAGGCATCAGGGGCACACAAGAGGATTACTGTTATTACACAAGGTGCAGATCCTGTTGTAGTTGCTGAGGATGGGAAGGTGAAATTATTCCCTGTGATATTGTTACCCAAGGAGAAGCTGGTTGATACAAATGGAGCAGGTACGCTCTTCTCTTCCATCTTTTTAGTCTGTCCGATATTTGTATCTGCCTGGAGATCTTTAAGATATACCCATTGATTTGAGTTTCAAAGTGTTTAAAGTTAGTCTCTGCTGCACTTCCCGATGTTTGTATCTGCCTAGAGATCTTTAAGATATATCCATTGATTTGAATCTCAAAGTGTTTAAAGTTAGTCTCTGCTGCACTTTCTTCCTTACAGCTGAACTCAATATCTTATCTCTAGTTCCCTCCATCTAAACAGCAGCTTGCTAGAAAGCTAGATCATCTACTTTGGTTATAAGAAATGCAAAAAAGATAACATCTGTTAGATCCTGAAATTTAGTGTTTTAAGCTGCTATTAGTTTCAATATTCCTGCAGGATTCATACCTGGTGTTAGTATCTTCGCAATCTTGACTTCTCCGAGCAAATCTTAATAGCTTTTCTTCCGTGGCAGGTGATGCGTTCGTTGGTGGATTTTTGTCACAGCTGGTGCAAGAGAAGCCCGTTGAAGACTGTGTGAAAGCTGGTTGCTATGCAGCAAATGTCATTATCCAAAGGTCAGGCTGCACATATCCAGAGAAGCCCGATTTCAAGTAGGCTCATATCCCCCATCCGAGCCTCTTACTTTGTACTGGAGTTGATTTTTCTGCGCGTTCTCCTAAACATAATTTTTCTGTGCGTTCTCCTGAACCCATGTATTTTGGTAGAGGAGTTTTTTTTTTTTTCCAAGTCACCAGTGTTGCCTTGCTTGGGGTAGCAGTCCACAGAGCTGGCGAGCCATCCTTGGCTTAATCCACTAAGCAATTTTTCTCTTTCATAATGAAAAATGGTGAACCAGGTTTGGTTCAGATGAGTCTGTTGTCTATGAAGTAGGATTCGGTCATTTGTGCTATTTATATAAACCTGGCCTATCACCGGGTATCGTATTTCATCCTGCTATCCTCTTGATCATTCTGAACCGTATATGATAGGAAATTATCATAGAAAATCAAAGCCAGCCACTATATAATATAATTCTTTATTCTCTGTATACACAGAATAAAAGTGGATTTACGTGCTGAGGCACCCAAGAGCATACAATGGAAGATTAATAGAGAAACAGGTATTTACTTGACGGTCCTTGTAGATTTGGATTGTCCAAGATCTGTTTCTGGTCGTCAGTTTTTTATTCTTTAAATAAAATTTTTATAATTATAGTTATTAAATCTGGACTCACGGGTTGACTTGGAAAGTTTAGGGTTTAATTTTAATTTAAATAAAAAAATATGAACATACTGAATCTAGTTAATATAGTGGTTGATGTGGTTTTTTATGTTTTAATAAAAAAATAGCTCGTGTTAATATTGACTACGCGAAGGTTGAATTGGAGATTTAATTGTCAAGTTTTTTCCCGATCAAAACTTGAATAAGATTGAAAACTATACAGTTTCTCATGAATCTGAAAAGGGAGATGATAAAAACTCGTTTTCAACAAATTTTGCTAGGGAATGTCTCTATCCACTCGGGATTGATTGCTTGCAGTGCTAGGAGCTGGAGGAACATTTCAGGATTACTGTTGTCCTCTTTTTCTTTCAATTTAAATAGTAGTTACTATTAACATCAACAAAACAACTAAATAATGTGAGATAAATTTAACTATTTATATAAACAATTAAGAAATCTAATATATATTTAATCGTTAGGTTAACAAATTCAAAATGTATCTCGATTGGTGGGTGCACGGGTTGAAATCGAGGTAGAAGTTTGTGCTAGGCGTTGTGACATTTTTTTTAAAAAAAAAGGCCTCATGCGAAAAGAAAAAAAATAATTTGGCCAGGCATGAAGGACTCCCTCGTAATTATATGAGTGTTTCTGGATAAAGTAGGTAGGTTTTGATTTATAATTGTATTTAATTTAATTTTTGTTATTTTACAAAATATAAATCTAGCTTATTTAAAAAGAAATTTGGATCTGAGCAAGTTTGTATTGAGTTGGGCTGAGCTGGGCTAGAATTTTTGAGCTGGACTAGAGTTTTTGTGAATATTATAAATATCCGCTAGTTATATATATTATCTTATTCTTTTACAATCCTAACAAAATACCATGTTGTAATTATTAGAACTATAGAAGATCTCTAAAATATCTATATTAGGGAATATTATCATAATTTTTATGTAAAAAAAAAAATAATCGATAAATATTTTATCAAATAATTAGAGTGCAATATGATACAAAAACAAATTAGTAAAAAATATATTATAAAATATTTATAGATTTATAATTTGATTAAAAAAATAAAAGTTTGGTCTGGATTCTTGAGATTCTTATTTGTTTTTTTTATGATCTCTTGGTTACTAAAAATTGAAATTATGAAACACATCGTCACTTTATCAAATCAAACTTAAAAAATAAAAACTATAATTTATATGAAAATAAAAAATAAATAAAATAAAAGGAAGATTAAGAAAATGAGAAATGATTATAAATATGAAGTTGAGAGAGAAAAAAAATAAAGAAAAAAATATTTATTATAATGAAACATGTTACTTATATTTGGATATATAAGTTGGGTTGAACGGATTTTAAAAATGTCAACTTGCACCCAAAACATAATATTCATTTATTAATATTTTTTTTTTCAATTTGCTATCATCTCCAGTATTATTTGATTTTAATAAATCCAGTAAAGGCAACTTAAATAATAAAAATATTATAAATGGGCCCTCCTAAACCCGCGCGCGCTGAATTGTTGAAGTACCGGATGGGCTTCAAGAAAGAAGGCTCATCCTTAAGAGATTTGAGCCTGGCCCTATATTTAACAACGCTTCCAGTAATGATCCAGCTACAACCAAAACTATTATCGTGTGAAACCAGCAAAAAATACACTCAACAAATAAAACCAAGGAAAATAAATAAATAAATAAATTGTGCGAAAAAATTGCATGAATATTTGGTTACAAAACCGTTATATCAAGTTGAATTACATGACTTTTATTATTTAATATTAAGTTATTCACAAATATGTTTTTGTATTTTTTATTATATAAAAAATAAATCTAAACTAGTAAAATCCATAACTTAAATTAAAAGTTTTGTGAGTTGTCTAACATGTTTATTTTTTATTTCTGGATAACTAAAAAAATTTATATATAATTTAATTAAAAATTTAAGGTAAATTTTTTTTTTATATAATTTAATTAAAAATTTAAGGTAAACAAAGAGTCAAGAGTTGAGATTTTATAGATTTAAATCATTATATCAAGTTAAATGACAATACTAAAAAAAAATTAATACTTAATATTTTAAGTTACGAGTTTTTTTAAGTTGTTGATTTATCTTTTATTAATTTTAATAAATAAATTCAATAAATACAGACAGATGAATATTTTATTTTATGTAATTGAATATCTTGATTTATATTTATTTTTTAATTTTATTAATTTTTTTTTGTTGTTAACAATTTTATTCCTGTTGATTGACATAGTGATTATTAATTTATTTAATGGGATATTTAAATAAATTTTTTAATTTTTTATATGAAAAAATACATGGAAACTATTTATACAGTTAATAATTTTTTAAAAAAATTATGATCGGCGGAGAATCACGGTTAGTAGTCGCTAAATAGCGGATCGTTGACTACTGGGCCCCGCAAGAAAACTTTGAAGAGAAGGCGAAGGCAAGAAAACTTGGAAGAGAAGACGAAGCTAGAAGCGACATCACTGTCCGTGGAGCTGGGGACAATACTAGCGCCAGTAGTAACATTTGTTTTGTTTCCAACAAATCTTTATACAGCTAAAGTAGGAATCTATCTTGAATTATCAAAGCATTTTAAAAGATTTATACATGCAGGAAGCCATTCGGCCCAAATCTAACGACCCGGGCTTTTTTCTGGCAAGATCTCCAGCGAGGCCTGAAAACTATAAAACCAAGATGGCAAAATTTCCTTTTCAACGAACGAATTTTGCTAGTGCATATCTCTATCCGCTGCTGGGCACTGATTTTTTTTTAATTGATGTGAATATTCAGTTTAATTTATATTTTTTTAATTAATTTTATAAATTTTAAAATTAAAAATTATATAAATTCATAATAATTTTAAAATTCACAAGAATTAATAACTTTCAGACAACAAATTTAAAATTTGATTAGTTAAGTTACTTTTCTTAAAATTATTAAAATTACTAAATATTAATTTTTTTATTATTAATATGGATATCCAAAAAATAACTTAACTAATCTTATATATCTTGAAATTAACTATCATATATGTTTTTATAAGGTTTGAACTTGGTAATTTTTAGAAAGGCAATTCAGAATCTCCAACATTAAAACTATACTATACCCCTCATATTTGTGGTGCTCCGGGGACACTGATTACTTGCAGTGCCAGGAGCTGGAGGAACATTACAAAATTACTCACTGTTATCATTAACCAAAACCGGACCAGTTTAATTGTTTATTCCAATAATTAAGAAGATTAATATATATATTTTTAATTATTTGATTAAAGAATTCAAATTGTATCTCGAGTGGCTAGCACGCGGTTCAAAGTCGAGATAGCATGATAATGACACTAATATTTTACGCGTTGTCGAAAAAAGAAAGCCCCGTATAGAAGGAAAAAAAATACTGGTACAGGCATGCAAGCCTCCCCTGTGCCCACACGCATTGTTGTCTTGTAGGATCATGGGATGGGCTTCAAGAAAGAAGGCCCATCATTAAAAAACAACTTAAGAGCGTGCTCTCTATGTATAATAACGTTTTGAAATTGTTTTTTTGTTTTTATATATATATATATATATAAATTAATTTATTTTTATTCTTATATCGATTCTTCTGATATTAAAAAAAAATATTTTTTAAAACATGATCTCAATATATTGCAAAAGTGAGAAATATTAGAAAAAACCTATTATTATAATAATAAACGGAATCTTCCAAGAATGAGCCAGCTCCAGCCAAAACTACTAAACTAGTAGTGTGTGAAACCAGCCAAAATTATCCTTAACAAATAAAACCAAGGAAAAAAAATTGTGCCAGAACACTTGCATGAATTTTTGGTTTTAAAACACCAAGTTTAATGACTTGCCCATGAATTTTTTTAATTGGACATTTGATTTTGATTTTTTACTTTTTTTATCTTTTGATTTTATTATTTTTATTGAATTTTATTATTTGATACTGTAGATTTGTTTTTATATTTTTTTTTATCATTCAATAAAATAAAAAAATAAATTCAACTAAGTTGTAGATTTGTTTTTATATTTTTTATCATCCAATAAAATAAAAAAATAAATTCAACTAAGTGGAATTCATAATTCAAGTTATAAATTTTAAAAATCAACTAGAATGAACCTGATATAATAGTTAAATATTATTATATATAGTTATAATAATTTAATTTAAAATATGAATTAAGCAATAAGTCAAATGGAGAATTCTTAAATTTAAACTGTCATACCATTATTAATGATAATAACAACAAAAACTCCAACACTGTGTATTATATTTTTAATTTCAATCTTTTTTGAGTCCAGTGTTAAATAGCAAACTGTTGATAGCTGAGGCCCGCAAGAAAACTTTGAAGAAAAGACAAAACTCGAAGCAATCTCACTGTCCGTAAAGTTGGGATGTGAATTTTACAGAATCTTTACAATACTAGCAGCAGCAGCAGCATTTGTTTTGTATCCACGTATTATCCAACAAACTTTAACACAGCTTAAGTAGGAATCTTGTATTATCAAAGTATTTTAAAGATTTATACATGCAGGAAGCCAATCGGCCCAAGTCTCGGATGAAATTGATCACATCAAATTGTGGTATCCATGGCCATATTGGGTTAAATAAGTAATGCAAAACCCTACGATAATAGAATCTATGGTTGCGATGGAATTAATTGTGAACTTCAACTTCTTCAAAATGATCAAGATGGTGCCAAGACTCTCATTGGGTGTAACTTTCTTCTTCCTTGATGGAGACGGAGACCCCTACGTGGTTTTTTTTTTTTTTTTCATTAATGTTTTGGGATCTAAATTAATTCCTTTCCTCCCAAGTTTCTTTTTAACTTGAGGAGGAACTGTCCTGATCCTACTTGGAAACTGACATGGGCGCATAAACATACTGTTCTTCTTTGACGCAGCTTCGCTTTCTCCTATTTTAGCCCTGCTTGCTCTTTCCCCTACAACTACAAAACCAATTTTTTTCCCCTTGGAAACAAGAGCCCCCAACCGCTTTCTTCTTTGCCATGGAGTCTCATGATCTTAGCTCAGATATCATCTATGAGATTCTAACTCGTTCATCCATGGAAACCGTAGGAAGATGCAGAGTTCTTTCCAAGGAATGCAACAGGATCACCTATGACTCTATTTTCACCAATCTTCATAGCGAAAGAACAAACACTGTATCCGGTTATTTCATGCAAAGCATGATGAGCAACAGATTTTATTCCTCCTTTGTGTCCATTGACGCTACTACTTCGAGGTCCTATCCTAAACTGTCCCTCAATTTCTTACCTGACAGAGTGGAGATTCAGGGATCAACAAACCAAGGTATTTTGCTTTGTCGAACACATCATCCACGATATTATGTGTGCAAGCCTACCACCAAACAATGGCGAAGAATCCCGAATCCGAAGACCCGATACCATTCTTTAGCTACTGGCATGATTGTGATAAGATCGAACCCTTTGCATTATAAGATAGTCAGGTTCTCACAACCCAAAGCTCGGTGTCATGATAAAGAATTCTTTCAATATTATTGGGTTAGATGTGAGTTGTTTGATTCAAAGACTTGGAAGTGGAAGCAATTGGATGAAGTAAAGTTGCAAAATCACGAATCACTTTCTCGCGAGCCTGCTGTATCTGTATCCGGCTCCCTTCACTGGCTTACATGGGCAGAAAACAACATATTTGCTTTTCATGTAAGCAAAGAAAGCTACAGCATATTTTCACTACCTCTATCAGTTTCTGAGGATAGCAAGGGCAAGGACATTGAACTCGTCGAATATATGGGAAAACTTGCCGTAACCTGCATTGGTAAAGATGAGAGTTCCATGGAATTATGGGTCATGGAGAATTATGGGAAAGCAGAATGGAACAAGAGGTACAAAATAAACATTGAAGCTTTAAGAAGAAAGGAACCCGACACCAGGCCCGCTGCCTTCTACAATGCTGATATTGTGCTAATGAAAGAATATAATCATCGCGTGACGTTCCTCAACTTCAAGAATGGAAGTATTGATAGGCTGTCTTTAGAGAACAACGTAAATCGTGGATGTTTCCGATTTCAATCGGATTTTGAGCCGAGTGATTTGACGGGTGGATTTGCATTGAAACATCCGCAGGGTAAACGAGGAAGAAGTAAATCAAGGAGAAGGAAGTCTCCTACAAAATATAGTATTGGTCAATTAGGTTTCAGACAATTCTTTGCTTTAACCACTTCAAAATCGTTTCTCATTCTGCTGTTAGCCTTCAGTTTTTTCTGTTACGTTTTAGATTTCTAGATAGTCATATTAGTTTGGTCGAAGATTAATATTGGCAGTGGATTAGTATTGTTTTTCTATTCAATCTTGTTTAAGTACCTGGTTAATTCCTTGCATTTGTTTATGCTCGATGATTTCTACTCTTGAAATAAGAGGATCAACAAATTTCTACAAAGATTGAAGTACTTGGCAAAGAAAATTAGTGTGCTAGCTCTGACTCTAAAACAGTTAGACTTGCTAAGCTAAATTTGTTTGCAGGAATTTACTGATATCAAGCCTGCCTTGTATGTTGCGCTGAAGCCATGAAAATTACATATTAACGAACAACAGAATTACACAGTTTCAATTACAGTTTCTGCTCAATAATGTACAATTAAGCTTCCCTTCTCTTGCTCTTTCTTCTCTCAACCAAAATTGCTAAACTAGATAAAAAACAGTGCATCTCAGAGACATAACAAAAACTTATGATCCTGTTGAGAGTTTACACTGTAGAATGCTATTGAACATGTTCTCATAGCATGGAATGCAAAGTTTCGGCCCTGTGGTGAATCCAAAAACCTCCTCGGTGCGATCAAGCAATGCCTTGAAGAGAGGATGCTGCAGTAAAGCAACCTTGATCACATATCTTTTGCAGTCTTCACCTACATAAACTGCTAGATGACCTTTTGGAACATCTTTTGGTATGAAGTACTCATCCTTAGGCAAAAGAGACCAGCTTTTCCGACTTTGAAAATGGTTACAAGTTGCATGTTTCAGAAACCAGTTCATACCGATATTGAGGTACTTGCAGAGACAATGTTTGAGAAACTTGCCCCTTTACCATCTTCGGTACCATGATCCTATGAGAAAGAGAGAGGGATATAAAGAGGGAGATGGGATGGGAAAATATGGAACTGGATGTGTGGTTTTTATACTTGTCTAACAGTGTTGAAATTGACAGATTGGCATATTTTGCCCATCTTTTTTTTACGCACCTTTTGTATTGCAAACGTTATAGCTAGTTTGATCATGTTCTTAGAGATAATAATAAGAAAAATGGGATAGATCTGGTTGGAAAGTTCTGACATGAAATATGTAAAAAAAATTGCAATTTGTGTCTGTCATGGTTGATGGTTCTCTTGGATATTTTTAAAAATCACTTCACTCTTCTAGGCCAGAGAGACAAGTGTGCTCCAAATCCTGATGAAGTATCTACTTGAGAATAATATCAGTGCCATGACTGTGTACTAATCATGAAAGTGTATAAAAATATATCAGAATGGAGCTAAGCTCATAGGGTCAAAAATCATGCGCTAAATTTAAGGACTCGGGTAGGTGCAGCAAATACTGTAGCACTCTCTTTCAAATGGAGTTCTAGTTTCCTTTCAACTTTCAAGTATCTGCTAATGGTGGTTCTTGATCGTTTGCAGGATTTGGTAAACCTTTAAAATATTTTTTTCTGCCAATCATCCAAGGCTAGGAGTTCTTATTCTTCTGAATTCTGATTATTAGCTATCAACACACATTTTTCTTCAATCAAGTGTTCTTCGAAACAAGTTGGCATAGTTTTTAGTTTTCATAAGAAACTCACGTGCGGTCTGTTATCTGCCCAAGACACCAAATATTAGATATTGATTTCACATGCCGATTTTCCAGAGGAGAGAACCTCAAGTTAGCACACGGATTTGTCTTAAAGGACATAGCTTTGTTAGGTACTACTGTATGAAGAGATGTTCTGTAAGGACACACCATTCAAACAAATTAAACAGATAGCCAACAGAATTTGAAAACATGGGTTAGAATGATCTCAATGATTCCATCCTCTTCCTACCCAATTTGTAAGGGGAGAGGGAGAGATATGGCATGGTCGGAGGTTGGAAGTTTTTCTCACATGATGCCAAAAGATCTGGTAGTTTAGGACACTATTTTCTAGTTCGTTGCTCAATTATTTTGTATTATCTTTTGAACATTAGGGACGTATTGATATTCTTAGAGTTTCTCTAAAAGATCTAAAGTGAAGAGAATTAAATTTTACTGATATTGTTAGCAACACACTACACCTTCAAAGCATATGGTTCATGTTTCTGTGTTGTTATGTAAATGGACTGGGACTGGGACTGGGACCCCTGCTGCTCTCAATCTTGGGTGCCATGGAAATGGCTTCTTGGCTTCCTATTTGATGATAGCCACCCTAGCTTGTGGCACAATCTGTACCCTTCCATTCTCCTACTCGGTGCCCTCTTTGCTGACTGCTATGGATATTAAAAATTTGGTTCCCTGGATAATTTATATTCTAAGTACATAATGCAGGAGTTTTCAATCAATTAGCACTGTACTTGATGCAAGGGTGGCATGCAGGTATGGATCAAGAATTCTTTTCTCCAACTTTGTCTGGCCCATCCAAGATTTAACCAATGTTGACCCAGCAATCCAATAACTGTGTAAAATGCTGGCATGTAGCATTTCTCTTTACACTATGGTAAAACTTAATCAGATGGTCAAAGAAATGGCAATTTTGTGTGGAGAAAACTAACAAGAACGTTTGTCTCTGCATGCTTGCCACTTGTACCTGATGAAACTCCATGATCTCACCTCTTTCACTCCTCACTCATTCCACATCCAAATGTCAAGTTTTTACACAATCTACATCACTAGGAGTCTAGGACTTCTCACTTCAGTCTGACACCTGGGTCCTGACTCCTTTCAACTCTCTCAGCTCAGCTTCCCCAGCCAAAATAGCCTCACTTTGCACCACAGCCAGCAGGCACCGCCATCTCTGTCTTTCACCATGGCTCTCTCTTCCCTTCTCTCCAAACCTTTCATTTCTCTCCTTTCCTCCAAACCCTCTCCCGACAACAAAAACAACAAAATTTCACCAACTTCATTCACTCTTTGCAGTTCTCTCAAAACTAAACAATCACGCGTAACCAAACCAGCCACTCTATCCAAAACCCACAAACTGTCGTGGCAGCAAGAACTCAAACAAGCATTTCAACAACCCAAAAGCCAGAACTTACAAACAAACAATGATAGCATCGATTGCAACATTGATGATATTGATGATGAGTCCTTTCAAAAATTGGTTGACAAGAGATGTGTAGACAATGTAAAAATGCTAATAGTAGATGCTGTTCAAAATGCACAAGCAGGTCACCCTGGAATGGCACTAGGGATGGCTGATACTGGATATTATTTATACAGACATGTTATGAGGTATAATCCAAGAGACCCCCAGTGGTTTAACAGGGATAGGTTTGTTTTGAGTGCTGGTCATGGATGTTTACTTCAGTATGTTTGCCTTCATCTTGCTGGGTTCGAATCTGTTCAGGTATTGGCTTTTTTCAGTCTCAGTAACTTTTTATGTCAGTTTAAGCTTCTAATTGAAGTGTCTATTTACATTGCAGAAAATACTGTCTCTATTAAATATTCAATGGTTTTGAGATTAGCTTCTCCTGCCTGAACAGGGAAAATCTAGTTCTTGATTAAGAAATTAACATTTATATCAGATTGTTTATGCCAACCAACACCGATACTTAATATATCATTACAGGAATAATTAATGTGTGATCAACAAGAGGTTAATGTTTTAAGGTCTAGCAGCCTCCTGCAAAGACAGAGTAGTCAGTTGAGGTCTTGAGTAAAAGACCAGAAGTCCTAATTTTGATTGTTCTAGGCTATTCATGCATCTTTTGAACTTTAGTTTTCTTTACTCCCGGTAGTTCCCATCTCCAGCATAGATATATCTATGCACATTTGAGGCTTTTAAATTTACAAATTTCAATGTAATGCTTCATTCAGCTAGAAGACCTGACGCGCTTGTGTAAACTTGGGAGTCGCACCCCAGGTCACCCAGAGAATACAGTAACAGATGGTATCGAAGTCACAACAGGTATGAATTTTTTTTATAAAAAAAAGATCATCTGCAGCTTGTATTGATATGAAGGATAAACTATATGGGAGCAATGTGTATATGCTTAATTACTCAAGGAAATTTATATTGATTTACTTTATATATGATTTTCCAATAGGCCCTCTTGGTCAAGGAGTCGCTAACGCGGTTGGTCTTGCCCTAGCGGAAGCTCACTTGGCTGCTAGATTCAATAAGCCCGATTGCGATATTGTTGACCATCGGACGTTAGTATATATTCTAGCTATCTCATTTGCAAAAATAACATCAAGATGTGCAGGTTTCCATAGTTGTGACACTGATTCTTGATGTAGATATTGCATCATGGGAGATGGGTGTGCCATGGAGGGAATAACGCATGAAGCTGCATCTTTGGCTGCACATTGGAAGCTCCACAAGCTCACAATGATTTACGATGACAATCATAATACCATTGATGGACCGATTAGCCTGGCATTTTCTGAAGATATATCCGCTCGATTCAAGGCTCTTGGCTGGAATGCAATCACAGTGGATGACACACATGATGATATGGATTCATTCAACGATGCTCTTCTCTCTGCTTTTGGTGACACTGAAAAACCAACTTTCATAAGAGTTCGTGACTTCATCAAAAGTTGCTCACTGAAAAACCAATTTCAGTTTTTGTTATTTTTCTGAGATTCCCTCTAGTAGTTCATGTCATGGGAAGCAATTGTGAAACGAAAAAACTGCAAATTGACTAGGCCATAGCTACCCTGTATGCAATTTAACAAATACTTCCAGTTATATGTCTAATTGCACCTGTAATCTTCTAAATACACAGGTGAAAACTTTGATAGGGAGATTATCTAGAAAGGAAGGGACATCGAAAGCTCACCATGGAAACTTTGAAGAAGATGATGTGAAGCAAATGAGGCAGAAAGTTAAATGGGATAGTCGGGAGCCATTCCATGTCATTCCTATGGTCTATAGGTCTGGTTTACTGAATCATTTCTGGTTTAGCAACTTCATTTCTACAGCCACACCTAAGAATTCGTCAGAAGAATAATTGTGCCGTAATATACTGCAGGGAAATGCAAATTCAGACGGATCACGGAGAAAAATTGGAGAAAGAGTGGTTCTCTAAATTCGACTATTTCAAAACCAATTATCCAGAGGAGGCTGCAGAATTTGAAGTTCTTCTTAGTGGTGGTCTGCCTCCTAACTGGGAAAGCTGCCTACCGGTAATTTGCAGATTACAAGATACTCTATATACATACTTGGAAACATTAGAAGGTTTAGTTTACTTTGTTTCCAGTTCTTTTGTACCTATGAAGGAGTTTATTAAGTTCAGAAATGACAACGTAGCGTGATCTAAACCAATTTCACTAACAAGATATTGTTCTTATTCCAACAGGAGTGGTCCGTAACAGACCCAGTGGATGCTACTCGCGGGTACTCCGAAAAGTGCTTGAATCAACTTGTCAAGGTGCTTCCAGGACTGATTGGTGGGAGTGCTGATCTTGCTTCTTCTAACAAAGTCTATCTCCAGGGGTCCCAAGACTTTCAGCATAGCTCCTTCTATGGTCGCAACATTCGCTATGGAGTACGAGAGCATGCAATGGCAGGAATTTCAAATGGAATTGCATTGCATAAAAGTGGTCTAATCCCCTTTGCAGCTACTTTCCTTATATTCTCAGACTACATGAAAAACTCAATCCGCCTTTCTGCCTTGAGCCATGCAGGAGTAATATATATCATGACGCATGACTCTATTGGTCTCGGGGAAGATGGCCCAACTCACCAGCCAATCGAACAGCTTGCTGGACTTAGAGCAGTACCACGGCTTCTAGTTTTCAGACCAGCAGATGGAAATGAAACTGCTGGTGCGTACAGAGAGGCTATAACAAATAGAGATGCACCTAGTGTCATTGCATTATCAAGGCAAAAGGTGGCAGCAAACTTAGAAGGAACATCAGCAAACGAAGTT